AACAGCTCGCAATAGCCACAGGAACGTTGCTGCAAGACAGGCATATGTAACGACGACTTAGCGCTCTTAAACGCGTGTGTCATTAAATACAGTCCTCCTGACAACAGGCCAGTGAAAAATCTAACAATCTACAGCAAAACCATCAATTATTATGGGCGTTATAACATACGTGTGCAGCTGGATGAAACATACACGTCGAACCCCCCCAGACGATTTAAATCCCTGACGAAACATACACGTTGAACCACGGCAACGGGTTAAAAAGTATCATTAACTAACAATATATCAGAATTTTGTATCATGGGTCATGACCTGAAAGGACAGTTGAAGGAAAATATGAAAATGGGAATTGAGCTATGAAGTTAGAACTCATTCAAGATTCTGTCCAGTGATGATGTTTGAAGCTATAGGTCTGTTACCAGAATGTTTTATTTGTATGTTAGACAGCATTGCTGAAGCTGTTTGCGCTCTGTAAGCTTCAACATCATGACCAAATTGCTGAAAAGTATGCCATAGTGGAGTCAAGTTTGCAAGCCAGTATGGCACATGGCAACACTGTGAAAAATGCTCAGAAGCTACAGGAAGACTTCTACTTCAGTGCTTTCCATCCAGTTGAGCATTACACTCTTGAGGTAACCTTTGAATGTCAAATGGAGGTTGTGTTACGTTCTATCATACTCAGTACTCAAAATAATCTATATTCATACCCAAATTGTACCTTTCTTTCATATGCTTCCATCTACGTAGCAGACTAACAGGAATTATAAGTCAGTGATATTGAAAATTAGTGTCCTGTTTCTCTGCATGTCTGCTAATGTAGATTCATTGTACATGAAAGTTCAGAAACTCAGAATTATTTGTTAACATGATTATAATTTTAACCTTCACAAAAAAAGGTGTTTGGTACAAGCTTTATAGATATGTTTGTGACCTTTTGTACCAACTTTTGCTTTCCTAGCTGCATTGATTCTTCAGCTCTTGTTATCAAATATGATACTGTTATTTCACATCATGCAATAAAAAATGATCATAGCAGAAGTTGCATTTTGTCTTGAACATCATTTACTGTACAAGACGTGAGAAGCTATATGAGCGGCACTAAGGTGACTCCAACCTCAGACATTCACATACCCATACCGTGCTTGTACTGTAGTATCAAATTAATGAGTAAAATGATTGGGTATGTTCCAGTACCAAGTTTAATAAAGATCAGCAGGTTCAAAGTTGTTTAGTGATGAACAGATACACATGCACTCATACATGCATATGCACACTAGTGGACATGATGATGCTATGATCTTGTTGTCCTTAAAAGGAAACTTCCCCATCTTGATATGTTGCAGTTTTATACCATCACTAGTACAGCCATGACAGTCATGCAAACTTGTTGGATGTGACACAGCTGAATTCTGTTACCGTAATTCTGTCTGGAAAAAAGTATGCAGCCTTTGTTGCAGTAATTTTTCCATAGAATGAAAAATAATAATGTCAGCTGCAGAAAATTTGGTATGAAAATATCATGGGCGCACAGAAGTTTCATTTACAGCAGTATCAGCATTTAATGGCTAGGAGTGGTGCAGTGAAGCCCCCCTCCACTTTCATGTTTCTTCTTAGAGCAGTGAAATTGAACACTGAGCTGAGGAAAATCTTAAGTAGCAGTAATTTAAGACTGAAATTAATGACTTGGGATCATTGAAATTGAACACTAAACAAGGAAGAACCTTAGATGGGGGTCCCATTGATTAATATTTATTGTAAATAAGAAGTATACAACACAGTGTTTGCATGGGTTGAGGCAAGTTTCTAGCACATGGATGTGAAGACAGTAATCTAGTTCCATGTGTTACTGGAGGAGCCGGGATAGCTCAGTCGGTATAGTGACTGGCTATGGGCTGGACAACTGAGGGGTCGGAGTTCAGGTCCCATTAGGGTCAAGAATTTGCTCTTCTCCACCTCATCCAGATCGGCTCTGGGGTTGACACAACCTCCTATCCACTGGGTACCAGGGGCTCTTTCCCTTGGGGTAAAGTGTCTGGGGCTTGAAGCTGACCACTCACCTGCAGCTAGTGCTGAGATCCTGAAAATGTGGATCTGTACATAGTTAAGAACAGGGACAACTTTACCTTTTACTGGAGAAAAACTCCACAAATATAATAAACTTTGAAGGTAGACTTAGAGACCCATGCCCTTTTGTACAGAACTATTCAGATTAACTCCATGGAGCGTAGTCCTTCATAGAAGTTAATTGTCACTTAGCTAGTTCGTAAGTTGTCTGCAATGTATGGAATCTGAAAGTTGATTACCTTGTTCACAAGCACCACCATTAGTTTCTGTTCTGGGCCAGTGGATTCAGTCCACTCCCTCCAATCCTACTTCTTTAAGATGCAGTTTAACATCCTCCCTTCTGTGCCTAGGTCTTGCAGGTGGTCTCTTTTTTCATTTTTTCTGACCAAACCTTTGTATCTATTTATTTTTTATTCCATACATACATACATACATACATACAGTGTGTCTTTCAACCTGATCCTTCTTAGTTTGAACATCCTAGTATTTGGCAAGGAGTGTAGCTGCTCATTATGGGGTTCCCTCAAGAACCATTTTGTCAAGCACTCCCAATTTGCTGTCTTTCCTTAATGTAAGAGACCATGTTTCACGCATCTTGTGGTCAACAAATGCTTCAAGATATTGCAAGTTAAAACTAACCTTATCACTCACTCACTCACTCACTCACTCACACTCTCCATCCTTCCACCTTTGCCCATTCCATTTGAAACTGTTGTGCGGTGCTATCAGCCAATTTTCTTTCTGGATACCTAAATTATAAATGACATTTTATTATGCTCAAGTACATGAGAAGGGGCAGAGTTCTTTCAGTTTTACTGCCTTTAACTACTGTTAACATATGGTTTTAAGAAATAGTTCTTTTTTCAGACTGTCTTCTATGATCTTCCACGGTTAGCCAACATCACCTGTGAGGAATGGATTTCCACAGCTCTCTTGAAGTTGTGTGGCATGTCCAGGATGAATCACATTGCCCTGGAAAACTCAAACATTGCTCTTAAGCAATTTAATGCAGCTGCTTGGGTTCTAAAGACCTCAAGTGAGTACAGAGAGTGTGTAGACAGCTTACAACCTTAACTTTATTTTGCCTTCACTTCTTTCCATTCTTGTGTCCCCAGAAGATAACCTTGTAAGGACTAATGTCAGTATATTCACACATTTTTGTGTCCACTTGTATAAGTCCAGGCTGAAATGCTGTTCCTGTTCTAAATTAGTAAAATAAAATAAATTCAACCTGATAATGTTCAGCTGGTAATATTCACAACAGAAGATTATTCTCTTCAAGAAGACATAAGATATAGTGCCCTTATTGTGTTTTCTGTTGTTGACAATACTGATCTTACTCTGAGAGTAGAAGACAGATCACAGGTGTTTGAAAATGGTGGCAAAGAAAATGTTTGGATGCAAGAGAGAAGAACCAGACGGCATAGAGTATATAACGTAGTGAGGGACTACTTGATGTTTATAGGTCACAGGGCATTGTTAGGGCTGTACATATAATGTATTTGGTTGAAAAGAAATGCATGCAGACCTTTGGTAGGAACACCTCTTGACAAAGGTCCAAAGCTTGGCTTTGCTTGCTGCCTGCTTTGTGCTATTTTTTTCTTGACTTATTCTTCAGCATTGAAGATAACAGTGAAATGTACCTATGAAACAGTGGTTGACTTTCAGTGGACTACACAACATTATATCTCAGAAGACAGAAAACTTTGAATCTATTATTGGTATTAAGTGTTGAGCTACCTGCTTACAAATGAAATCCCTTATAGGTTATGCAGCCTGTTTTCCCACTAATTTGAGGAAAAGGGTGCATGTGGTACATGAGTAGACATGATAATATTGTAACGTGTTTTGCGTTACTGATCCCACTTCTGACACCAATGTAACG